ATAATTGTTGAGTAGTTTTGCATAACTCTATTAATATATCAATGATCACTTTTTGCTTAAATCTCCATTCAAATATGCTGTAGTTTATGACAATTCAGCTTAAATATTTTTTTCTTTCTATTACTTAAAATAGATCTATGTTTTATTTGTATCTCTTATTTGTTTCTATCTTTGAGATTTTTAATTTACTTTTCTCCAAACCTGGTGATGTTTTGCTGCTCAGACATAACAGCTGTTAAATGTCAAGATCTGGGCTAAAGGTTTTTTATATATTATCTCATTTAGTCCTCACAACAACCATGAAGTGGGTTATCCTCACCTTTGCAGGGGAAGAAGCAGAGGCTTACAGATGTGAAGCAACGTACTTGTCCAAGGTCACACAACTGTTCAGTGGGGAGTCTGATGGGAAGTCTGGCAGTCTGACCCTGACCCCACCCCAGCCAGATCTACTGCTTCCTGGATTTCAGATACTGCACTTCCCTTTCTTCTTAGAAAGTTTAACTTTCTATTGCCCACTTATTCCAAGAAGTCTTCCCTAACAAAACATACATCTTCCCCTGACAAATTTTCCTCCAGAAATTCCAAATTTTAATCAGCTAAATTATACTAAGAAAAGTATCCAGTTTGGAGTATGAGAGTCTGAAATTGTCTCTCAACTCTGTGGCTTATTAGCTGTATGATCTTGGGCAAATGTCTTAGCATTTCAGCTTCTTCATCTGTAAAATGAGGTGGGGTGGGGAAAGAGGATGATAGCATCTGTTATAAGGATCACATTGAGACGAACTGCTTAAAACAGTGCCTGGTACCAAATACATGCTTCCTAAGCATTAGCTATGATCACTCTTCTCATCCCAGTTTGTTATCTTGTTCTCTGAAATGACTTCTCTATATTTATAAACCTCAGGAAAGAAACAAATAGTATTGACTACATGGTATATTGTCTCCCCACCCACAGTAGTAACAACCTGTGCTGTGCCTAAACCTTACATACATTATTCTTTCAGCAACCTGCAAAGTAAATTATTTCCATTTTTCATGTGAAGAAACTGAAGCTCAAAGTCATACAGTAATAAATACTTAAGCTAGAATTCAAATTCAGTCTACTCTAGCTTCAAAGTCTTTACTCTTTCTGTTCACTACACCCCAATACCACTTATAGCATTTCACTTTTATGTTAAGCTTCTGCGGAACAAAGACGGGTAGAAGGCTGTGGGCTATTAATTAAAATTCAGGGAATCCACATGCATGAGAAAATGTAACAAAATAAGATAGTCTTAAGGCAGAGATATACTGGGGTTCCATCTTTTGATCTCAAAATTAATTAAAAGCTAAAAGAAGGCAATATCTTACAGATTCCTTCTAATGAAAAACTTATTAAACCAATGCCACAACTCTAAAAAGTCAATGCTAAGGTAATTAAGAGGCTTTCAGACTGTACTGTCATTAGTAACTGTAAAATGTGAAAACACCCAGCATTAACCTTCAAAAACTCTCTCGATGGTCTGAGAATCCTTACCGGCATGGAGCATCCCAAAACATTTCACAGAGAAACTGAGGCTATGGCATGAGTGGGGGAAGTACGTTGATTGAAAAGCACTGCTTTGCCTGAAAGTCAGGCCAGGCCTCCAGGAATCAGAGGCTGGGATAGGAGTCAGGTCCATGGGATTTATTGAGGGAACATTCTCAGGAGGAAGGACATACAAGAGAGTGATAGGGAAGGGGACGGAGCTAAGCAAGCATATGGTTTTTGCTGGGGTCTAACTTCAGTTTGATCCCATAAGGAATCCAGGAACATGACGTGCACCACAGCGTTAACCCAATGTGAGGCAAGGGGTCTGGCCTTTTTCTCCCCAGCCCCTCTGTGTCACTGTGTCACTCAGTGATTGTATGAAGGCAGCTGAGGGCTCCCTGTAGAGACAATTCTGCAGAGAAGCCATTAGCAGCCAACACACATAGCTGCTGGGGCTCAGTGTGCAGGCCTGGCAAAGATCTGCTCGCGGCTCCAGAAGGTGGGGCTCTGCCCATCATACTTTTCAGGAGTTTAAAAGGAATTGGTGCTGGATGCAAAACTCATCTGTGCACTTGGTTAATGTGCTTCAGTATTTTTACTGTAATAAAATAACCATCTCCCTGCCTTTACACACTTGTAGAACTAGTAGAGCCCTTGGTGTTAACATTATAATACGCCAAGGCATTTTGTCTTTGGTCCGTCTGAGAACCTATTCTTTCTTGCAACACTGCAAGCAGAGGCTTTTGCATGCAC